TTTCTCTTACTTATGCCGAAGTAAACAATATAAAAAATACAAGCTGCACATTCGTTCAGTGTTAAAATCATTGCACCGCCCCTTTAACGACCTGCAAGCAGTGCCTTCGGTCGGTACGGGATGCCGTACCGAAGATGCCTATGGAAATCAAAACTTGATGGTTAATCGGTACTGAGAAAGTTTTGCCGCGCGTCTCACCGTCAGGAACGCTTCGCGTTTTCAAAAGCTCCGCAAAGCTCTGACCTTTCATAAGACTCAATTTGAGATTGTGGCTCCTTTCTCACTATGTTTCCTTGGTCCTTCGAAGTGACTACATACTACATTAATTGGCTTCTCAACTTGGCCAACTATTGTTTACTACTGAGATGCCCAAAGGTGGTGGACTCATCATTAGAAAGTATGAAGACATTAGTACTTTCCTGGAGTTAAAAGAAAAGAAAAATTGTTTCCACCGATGAAGTAAACAAATTGAAGGGGACAAAAAGGGGAGAGGGCGGAGTCGTTCTATATGTAAGGGAGGGGGTTTGGGGTTGTGAGGGGCGTATATCGGGGGTGGAAGGGAGGGTGTCAATCTCTTGATGGGGTGTGTTGGGAGCTTGTGTATAAATTCATGTGCGGCAGCCGGCGTCAGGCAAACGGTGATCGGAAAGCTGCCGTACCGCTAGTGTGGTCGCGGAGGGATCTCTGGCGCGGTGTTCAAGCCAGCATCCCTCGAGTTCGGAGCAGACGCTCCGAGCGGAAGGATGGCATGCCTGAGTGCCATGGGAACGAGCCACTTTTTTTTCATTTTTTCTATCTGCACTTTTTGAGCGGCGGAGACGCTGTCGGCTGAGGCTACTCGGGCGTGTCCAAATAGGACTTTTATTGTCTATCGCGTAACAGCGTTTGCCGTGCTGTGTATCCGGAGTCATATCTCACACTGTAATCTTAAGTCAGAGCACAGTCGAAAGCACATATTACCACAAACACACATACTATAAGCACAAGTTTAGGGGCATTCGCAGCTCTTGGTTGGTTTAGCCGATGAAGGAGCACGCACAAACCCCACTGAAAAACCATATAACAGGATTTCTGCAAGAACTTGACGTACTCCTCAAAAACGTCTGAGGGGTCTGACATGTTCATCGACGCTTTCTAGGGAGCTGACATACCTTTCCAGGAATTCCGAAGGGTGTGAGAAGTCCGGTATTGTATTTTGAGATGTCTGTGAAATCTGTGGCGATCTTTCCTGAAAAAAAGTGACCCATAAAAACCGTTTTAACGGATCTCTGAGGAAAATCACCCACCCTTCAGGAGATAATCGTTGGGGAAGCCGCCGGGCCATTTTGTAACGCGGTTTGCAAAAAGCGGTCACCCAGTGTCTTGTTCCCGTCCAACCCGTGGGATATATATTTTAAAGCATGCAGCTCAGTATGCGGATAAGGAGGGTCTCGGGGCCATGTTCCTTCTGCTTCTTGGTTCATCTGGCTTCAAGAGTCCACTTAGTGAAAACAATGCCGGAGAAGCCACCGCGACGACACCACGAACGACACCATGACCCATGCTCAGGATTTTGTCAACGGAGGCCCATGTTGGTTTCGCGTTCGTGGTTTTAGAGCGCAGCTCTTAGGCGCCCGTTCCCGGCTTGAGCGGCGTCGGCGTCGCCGTCGCCATCGGCGTAACCGCAACCCTCGTAACCCGCGTGAGGGCTACGAGGGTTACGAGAATTAATCTCATGAGGGTTACCCTCACGAGGATCACGAGGGTCACGAGGGTTACGTACCCTCGTAACCCTCACGAGGGTTACGAGGGTTAGTTACCCTCAAAAGGGTTACCTTCACGAGGGTTACCCTCACGAGGGTTACCCTCACGAGGGTTACTTACCCTCGTAACCCTCACGAGGGTTACGAGGGTTAGTTACCTTCAAAAGGGTTACCTTCACGAGGGTTACCCTCACGAGGGTCACGAGAGTTACCCTCACGAGGGTCACGAGAGTTGCCCTCACAAGGGTTACTAGGGTTACCCTCACGAGGGTCACGATGGTTACCCAGGTCACGTGACCCCTCCCGGGGTCACGTTACCTGGGAATACCCCCCGAGGTCACGTGACCCCCCGTTAACGTCATCACCACTGATGACGTCATCAGTGACGTCACTGATGACGTCACCGGCATCCGCATCGTCATCATCATCATCACTGATGGCGTCATCAGTGACGTCACTGATGACGTCATTGGCATCGTCACGTGGCCCCGGGTCACGTGACCCCCCCCCGACGTCACGTGATGCCTCAAGGTCACGTGACTCTCACTAGGTCACGTGACCCCCAAGGTCACGTGACCCCCGCCCCCCGAGGTCACTTGACCCACTCCCCCAGTACCCTTCCCTCCTCCTCCTCAAGAGCTGCACTCTAATTTGGCGTTACAGGGAGTTGTAAACGGCTTTCATTTTTTTGCTAAACATGTTACTGACAGTGTGCGTGTGTCTGTGTGTGTGTGGTGCCCCTACTGGCTTTCAAGAGTTCAACTACCGTACGTTTCAGGAACTTGCCCAGCGTTATTTTGAGTACATCGAAAGTTATTTTTTGTCAACAAAGAACTCGATTGCCGCAATTTGGTCTGATCACTTTCGCGTACAGCTGCTTACGCTCGGGTCTGACTACACGTTGGTTTTTATCCCCTTTTTGAGTTTCAATATTTGTGCAAAACTCAGCGTAATATAAACTTCTAATCACTTTTTAAACTGCCTTTTGGGTCTGGTTCAAAGTCATTTTGGCGCTAAAGAGTTCAAAGGCTGAGGGGATCTGAAAGGTTGAAGGCCTAAACGGGTTTGAAAGTATGAGGGGGTTTGAAGGGCTGAAGGGTTTTGAAGGGATGAGAGGGTCCCATAGCAATCAGGATTGAAGCGTTATTTTTAAATAGGGTATCACTAGGGAAAAGAACTTCGAGCGTTTTAATGCTTTTCACATATTCAATGTTGAATGATGCAAATTTCGAGAGACTGTACAGCGTATGACGCGAACCACGGGGGCTGAACATTATTTTGTTTCTGATACATTGATATTGAAACAATTTACTTCAGCCCTACCTTTAAATCTTAAACGAAATACACTGACTTTATTTATAAGGTCTTCGGATCCGTGTGAAAATTATATACGCGAGTCATCTGCGTAAATTATATATTTGCTATTTGAATCAATGTTTACTATATCACTATATATAATAGAAAAAAGGAATGCCCTTAGGATAGTTGCTTGATGGACTCCAGATTTAATTTATTTCATTTCATTTATTGTTCCTTCAAAGCGCCCGGAGGCATTACATGAGGGGGGGGGGAGAGACAAAAGAAAAAGTTCGCTGCAAAAGCAAAAAAAAACACTAACATTGAAAACAGTACGCGACAGATCGCGCACACATACACAGCATACTATATACACGTTGAAAGTAGTGAAAGCGCACAATAAAGACGAATACGAAGACGGAGAGGCAAACAGGACGAGCGCTGACTATCAACTGAATTTTTTATTCGAAAAAATAGAAACAGCAAAATAAAACCAGGAAAAGCCACAAATACTACAAATGTGACTAGTCATCAATGACTCGGCCACCACACGTGTCAATAAAGTCCACTTCCTTTTTGTGAAGGAAAAGTGAGGGTTGACTGATACACTTATCAGGACATTCCTTCTTTATCATATAAGCCTCCAGTACCTCCCTCGCCACCTTTTCTTTACCTCTCCCAACGATTGTAGTGCCTTGGAAGTTGGGAATGCAGCAGCAATCTCTGCGATGTATGGCACCCGACGCTGCGCCTGGGCCCCTAGATGCCCCCTTTACTGCACCGGAACTCCAAAGCGCCCTCCGGAAGTGTCGTAAGAAGACTGCAGCTGGGCCCGACGGGATCCCTTACCAGGCGCTCACGAACTTAACGAACGATGCACTCGAGGCCCTCCTCACCTGGTTCAACTCCATATGGGACTCTGGCGACGTCCCAGAAGAATGGAAAGTAGCAACGGTTGTTCCACTACTGAAGCCAGGGAAGCCCCCAGACAAAGCTGAGTCTTACCGCCCAATCTCGCTGACCTCGTGCATAAGTAAGTTGTTCGAAAGACTTGTGCAGGGGCGCCTTCGGTGGTACCTGGAAGAACGCACGTGTCTCCCGGAGTGCATGACTGGCTTTAGGAGAGGGCTGGCAGCACAAGACAGCATCCTGGACCTCACGAGCGACCTTGAGGAAAACAAGAACAGGCGGAGAAACACGGTGGCAGTCTTCCTCGACGTGGAACGAGCCTACGACGGCGTGCCGCCATCCACTATACTCCGGAGATTGACAGAGATTGGACTGACCGGAAAAATTCAAGTCTTCCTGGCCAATTTTCTTACCGGACGCAAGATCCAGATTCAAGCTGAAGGCGCGGCATCCTCGCCAAGACTGCTTCACAGAGGACTGCCTCAGGGAAGCGTGCTAAGCCCGATTCTCTTCAACATGGTTATGGCACCACTACCGCACTCTCTTCCTTCGACCCCTCTCCCGGTTCAGGTGTCGATCTACGCAGACGACATCTGCCTCTGGGTTACGGGCATCTACACCACGCAGATCCACCGCAGCATACAAAGCGCCGTTCAAGCGGTAGACACCTTCCTGACCAAATCCGGGCTATCCCTCTCCCAGGATAAGACTGTCTGGATGCCGGTACGCGGAAATGGTCGACGTTTTCGCCCCCCTGACATCAAACTGGCAGGAAAACCCCTCACGTGTGTGAACAAACAACGCTTCTTAGGAATTGTCATCACAAGTCGGTTGCGCTGGGCACAAGCAGTGAAAGCGACAACCGCCGTATGCAGGCCGGCCATGAACGCTGTCCGCCACATGACGGGTACCACATGGGGTTGCACAGAACGGACCATCACTAGCGCCCAGTCCGCGCTGGTGACGTCTAGAATCCTGTACCGGCTTCCTTACATGTTCCCGTCCCAGACGGATATGGAGAGGCTGGAGCAAGGGCACAGACGTGGGCTACGTACAGCACTGGGAATTCCCAACGCGGCCAAGAATGCTGTGGTACTCCAGGAGGCGGGAGCAGAGCCGCTTACAGTCCAGGCCAGAGCCAGAAGACTCTCCCAGTTAGCCCGGCTCTCTACGACTCTCCCAGGCAGGTGTTTCCTGCAGCGAATCCAAGCTCGGACCAAAGGGTCATGGCACGACACGGTAGAAGATTTCCTTAACATAGCCGGCCCGCTACCGACGATGACGAGCGAAGCAAGGGTAGCGCCCTGGGAAGTTGCCAAGGTATCCATCGAGCTACGGATCAAGCGCCTGCGAGCCAAAAAAGTTGGACCGATCAACGCTCTCAGAGAAGCTGTGGAAAAACACATCGAAGAACGCTACGGTGGTTGGCTGCAGATATACACGGACGGCTCTGTAAACAAGGCTAGAACATCCAGCACGGCAGCTTTCTACATCCCGGAGTTAGCCCTGGAATGGTGCGGCAGGCTACAGGCGCCTACATCCTCCACGACGGCCGAGCTAGTGGCTATTGACAAGGCCCTCCAAGCGGCTGCCCAGCTGTCACCTCACCGGATGGTGCTCCTCACCGACTCAAGGTGTGCCCTCCAGAAACTGGCCAATGCAGAATGCGCGGATCCCGCGACCACTGCAGCGAGACAAACTCTATCGTTCCTGTTATCCCACGGATCTACGGTATGTTTCCAGTGGATCCCAGGACACACTGGCATTAAGGGCAACGAACGGGCTGACAGTCTGGCCGGTGAAGCTCACCTAGCGCCTCGCACTGTCCCCACACCACCACACCCACAGCAGGCGGCACTCAACGTCCACTGGCACCTTCAAGACAGCAAGCCAAAACCGGCGCTACCAAGAGGTGCGCTGTCCGGCCTATCTCGGGCGGCGCAGACTCTTGTGCGACGCCTGCGCACAAACACGGCCTACACGAATGCTTTCCTTACGAAGATAGGTAAGGGGCAGCACCCACTTTGCTCCCAGTGTAACTCCGCAGAGACGGTGGAACACATTCTGTGTGTCTGTCCAGCATATGAAACTCAACGAGCAGCACTGCGCAAAAGACTTGGCAAGAGCGACCTCACAACAAATGACATCCTTGCACCCGACGGTTCCGGACGAAAGTGCCAGAACATCCTGAAAGCCATGTTGGCATTTCTACGAGACACAAAAACTATAACCCGACTTTAATTTTTTTTTTTTTGACGTTACCTGCCCATGCCAGCTACCCCGTGCTAGGCTAACCTAGGTGACGTTTAAAACCAAACGACGAACACACACACACACAATGGAATTTTATAGACCACGCCCACCGCACATTCCACGTATTTGTTTACGTGCTTCACTGTGCATTGCCGCTTATCTTTGCCTTTTTCTTTTATCCTCGGACATAGTTGAGCCAGTTTACGTGGTGCTGAGAATACCAGAGGTACCTCGAACCTTTCCGCCACTTTTTTTATATTGTGTGACACCCTGTGTAAGTATGGCATCACGTGGGGTCTTGCTCTCTTTTTTTGCTTGTCCTTTTGGCTTTTGCCCCTGAACTTCTTCAGAAGTTCAGGGGTTCGACCCGCGGTGGTCTTGTTTTTTTTTTTTTTTTTTTTTTCTCGAAAATTTTGTTTTATCGAGGCATTTGGCGATATTTATGAGTGCGTATAGCTTTACTCTTATATAAATGCTGCCCTTGTTGATGAAATTCCCTTTGCAGTGGCAGTCAGACGTCATCTGATGGACCATCAGGTGACGTCTGATGATCCATCACGCTCCACCAAGGCTGCTGACTGACATTTAGTGTCCCAAATTACGTATCTTGATGGAATTTTCAATAGGGCTGCCATATCCAAGTTGAACCCTCAATAATCAGACATGAACTTATTTAACGAGGCAATCACATTTTCATATGAAGCGATGTGCTAACAGATGTTAGTGGCTGCTCCGAAAGCGTCAACGGTTACTGTAAACCAATAATTTGCCTGCCACAAGACCTGATACGAAAGGTCTAATGCTGCTTCCACCACTGCATTTACAGCAGTTGGGGGAAACAAAGACACTTGAACAGATTCATGCTAATAAAACGTTTAATGGAATCAATTGTATTTGAGCGCTTCCATTAACCGAAAAAAAAGTAATCAGATATTAACCTGCACTGCTAAAGCTCCATTCCAGCAGTTACTACTCATTTCTGAGCAAAGCCACCATCTCGGTCGTGCTTTCCGTGTGTTTCCTATTGCGGACAAGGTCATTTTTAGTTGATATATCAGGACTGTTGGGGAGTCCTGTTGCCTACTTTAAGTCACGAGGGACATATGGTTCGGATACTGTTTCTGCACATGTCAGTAGAGATGAACGTGGAATCATGAGCCATCTGGTTACCGATGGTGGTGATCAATTCAAGTGTCCTCTGGTTCTAGATTCAATGTGCACAGAAACGCTTAGCACACAGGTGTTAAGTTGTTGAAGTGATCTTGTATCCTCGAGCCTTTGCTCAGAATATCAACCTAATTGACTTCAATCAATCCCACTCAAGTCAAAAGCCATACAACCACAATCTGTGTCCCCAAGCCTTTGCTTTGAAGTCCACTTTGACCGGCCATAAGCGAATACACACAGGTAAAAAGCCTTCTTAGCGCAAGCAGTACCCCAAGGCTTTTACTTATAATAAAGGTGTGATCCTCCACAATCGAGCATGCACAAGAGAAAAGCCATTCAAGTGCACGCTTTGCCCCCAAGCCTTTGCTCACAGTATCAATCTGACCTGCCATAATCGAACGCCCAATGGTGAAAACCTTACAAATATGAGTGTGCCCGAGCCTTTGTTCAAAATGACAATCTGATTCTCCACAATCTAACACACACAAGTCTAAAGTGAAAGCAATGATCCCAAGCCTTCGGTCACAATAGCAATCTGATCCACACACAATCGAACCCACACAGGTGAAAGGCCATTGAAGCCCAAACTTTGCCCCTCAGTCTTTGCTTACAGTACCCATCTGATCTGCCAGAATCAAAAACAGTGGTGAAATACCTTATAAATGTAAACAGTGCCCACCAACCTTCGCTTCCAATCGCAGTCTCTTCCCCCACAGTCGAACTAACAAGTAAAAATCTATTCAAGTGCAAGCTTTGTCTATAGACATTTTCCGCTTACTCTCGGCCCCGACCGCCAAGTAGGCATATCCGGTATGGGCGACGAAAAAATATCAAAACGTTTCAACCTGCAAATAGTAAAAAAAAAAAAAATAGAGGGGAGGCAAAACGAAAATGTGTGATGGTTACGTTTATGTCCTAACTGCCTTATATTGGCGTGGCGACGGCAAAACAATGTTTCCGCCCATACTGGAAGTGACGACAATTCAAGATGGCGGCGTCCTTGCGGCGCTCAGATAATGCAGCATGATACACAGAATTGAACACAGTGGTCAAAAACCTTAAAAGCGCAAGCAGTTCCCCCAAGCCTTTGCTTTTCGTATCCACCATAATCGAACGCAATGGTCAAAACCCATAACCCTTTGAGGCAAGATGTGTTCCCAAGTCTTTGCTGAAACTTTCCATCTGACAGCCAACAATCAAATACGCACAGGCAAAAACCCATTAACTGTAGGCAAAGCCATATAATTTTGCTCTTGCTTCATGTATCTTTGCACGTCCTCCAGGTATTCCTTTCAGGTGTGACGTAATACATTTGTAAAAAAATGTCTTCATTCTTATGTTTTTATTTAGTCCGCTCTATGTGAGTGCAAACTTCCAGAAAATACATATACGACTGAATTTGATTTCACCGTCTTGCAAAAAAAAAAGAGGAAAAAGGCTGGCAGTTTTAACCCCCACACTCGTTTCTTTCAGCTGTTACAATTCCTGGTACTGGGATAAGTGTGGAGTAATGTTTTATGAGGTTCTCATTTCGACGTTGTGTACCATGCTATGATCCCATTTCAGTTGTTTCCTTGGCAGGAGATCTGTTCCTGAAATGTTTTTATGCATGAACAGCTTTTTGTGCACGCGATTTGGCCATTCCTAGTTGAATTATCACCTACGAAGATTTTGCTATGAATTACGCTTCACCGCTTTTAATAATCTGAAATGCCTTTAGAAGCTGCACTGACGAAAGTACGTGTTATACATGGTTTATTTCTGGACTGCCTGGCCATCTGCGTCTGAATTTTAAGACATGAATGTCATTCTACATCAGGCTGTGTCTTTTTGCGCGTTGTTTTGTATTATGGTGGATAATCGGTGATTTCTATGCTGTCCTAATAGTAAAGATTCCTTGTATTCAGCCATGAGTCTGCTGGGATTACCGAGTTCTTCGAATGGTCGGTAAATCTGTTTATTTTTGCATTTTGTAATAATTTCTAAGTATAGCTTCATTGTGTTTTTAACTTTTGTCTCGTTTGTCTTGAGCTATATCTGCAGATGAAAAATATGTAATCAGACTTCAGTTCCGCTGTTCCTCGGAAATAAAAATTGACAGTTCAAGCTTAGAGTGTTATATTTTTTTTTCAGCCATTGCAGATCTCACCTGAAATAAATGCGCAACTGGCACGACAGATCACTTCAAAGTACCTATTTTGCCATCCTGTGATCTCACTAAGGCCGTTTCGTTGCCAGATAATTGTCTGCCAAGTGAACGTAAACATTGCAGCAGTGGTGGTTTCTGCTGCGATTGTGACAAATGCCCCCTCCTACTCCTCAGCACTGGCAACTTTGTAATTGTGTAATGTTAAATGACACCTTTTGCTTTTGAATTATCACTGTCTCTACCATTTATGCAACTGCTTTTTTGTTTCACCATGCACTCGTTCCTGGGGGTTGGAGCTATGCCTCTTAGCTCCCTTTCCCAGAATTCGTGGACTGTGCACGTGGTACGAGGAACAATGCCTATTGTAATTTTTTGCTATTTAAGATTTAATCTAGCCTGTAGTTGACTACAGAACTTGTTAAAAATGGCAATTCATGCACATTAAAGTCTAGCGGCAAAGAGTCCCAGTGATTGGCAGTTCGAACAGGAAAATAATCCAATCAAAACCTAACTACAGCAAACTGTACAGTATGACAAGAGGGTGTTATGTCAGCAACTTGCTATAGCTCACTTGAATACAACACTTTCAAATAAAAATGATAAAGCCTGCATAGGCAGGATATATTGGTAATTTTGGCTTTATTTCACACTGCAGTCCGAAGAACACAAAACTCTACTATATGCATGGCTCGAAAATTGGCAAACATTTAAGAGGACCTGAGCTTTGAAAGGGGGAAAATTTCGCGGCACGCGAGCCATGCATATCTAAAATTATAATCTGCTTTAAAATTCGTGACGATTTTACCAAGAGATTCCCCTTTTTGTGCAACAGGGGCAGGTGATAAGAGATTTTCGCTCCAGTGATGGACACTTACAGCATGCGGTCCCTTCTCCTTGTGGGATAGGAGGGAATGGACAGCATTGCTTTTTATAAGTATAATATACGACACGGGTGGCGGAGCTGCGGCTCGCGAGCCGCCTGTGGCTCTTCGCGTGCTAAAGCGCGGCTCGCGGCTCCCCCGCCTCCCTCCCGATCACACGAGCACTTCCCCAAAAAGAGAAATGGAAGGCGTTTTAAATCGAAAGACAGGTTGCGGTTAGGTAGTCTCGTCCTACTGCTAGCTTGCGTACAGTTGGGCAGCTTTTGACTAGGACAGATGGAAAGTAGTTCGGTTTCATGGTCTTGTTTGCGGCTCTCAGGCCGGGTCAGGTTGGCCACCCCTGATATATAATTATATTTTAAAACTTGTAAAAATTGTTTTGCAGTAATGAAGTCAAAGCCACGGAGCAATGAGCCACATAAAACGCCTTTATTAGTGTTCATTATAGTTGGTTACAGGTTTAGAAAGCCAAGCTCACGCAAAGTCGTTCGCTCTACACTTTAGAAAAGCAAATTCAGGAAAGTAGGCAAGGAAGAACCCGGCCGCCTATCCAGTGTTCACTCTATTAAAGTGAAAAAAAAGGGATTTGTCGGAGGTTCTTTCCTTCTTACGGTG